GTAATACCTTACTTTTTTGTTTTTATTTTTACTGTGCAATATTTTTAAAACAATTTCCTCCTACAGTTGGAGCTTGCAACCAGAATTTGAAGGAAGAAAATGAGAATCAGTTGTGCACTATTAAACTATTGTAAACAGGAAGGAAAAGAGTGTAATCCTAGGTCAGAGATGGGGTGGTTGAGGTTGCTGTGAAGTTAATGCAGGTAAACAAAATATTGGCATTTAAAAAACACTTTCAGAATAAGAGGTAAGAGTTGTTGGTAAACATCTTTTGTTTTTGAAGTGTTCCTGTGGAAAGGAAATTTGAATGGTAATTTTTACTCAATAGGATTGATCATTAATGCTAGAAATCTTAAGCAAATACCATAATTTTATCAGTGGGTGATTAAGAGCTTCATTTAGTCAATGCTAGAATCCTTCATGGAATTCAGACCTCTAAAGTGGAACCCAAATATTAGAAAATATTCTTATCTTTCCTAGTAATAGTCACATTTTGAATTTTGCCTTATTAAATACTTTATATTACATTTTTTGACCTTTACATTGGCTGAGGATACTTAAGAAAAAGTATCCTTTTCTTGCCTTGACACAAAATAACAATTAAGTACTAGTATTTTCCTTCTCAGAATTTTGGCATTCATTATTCCTAAATTATTAAGAAGAAAACTAGTTTTAAAACTTAATTTTAGAGATTCACAGGAATTTGCAAAGATAGTTCAGAGAGGTCTCTGGCATTCTTCACCTGGTTTTTCTCAGAAGCTATTTTTATTTTTAAAAAAAATTTTTAAAGGTTAAAATAATTTTAAAGTTCATTTATTTTGAGAGAGAGTGTAAGTGGGGAAGTGGCAGAGGGAGAGAGAGAATCTCAAGCAGGCTCTGTACTATCAGTGCAGAGCCTGACGTGGGGCTCGAACTCACAAACCACGAGGTCATGACCTGAGCCGAAATCAGATGCTTAATTGGACTGAGCCACTCAGACATCCCTTTAAAAAACTCCTAATTCTGAGATCCAGAGTCACATGCTCTACCAACTGAGCCAGCCAGGTATCCCAGGAGCTTTTTTTTTTTTTTAATTAATTTTTTTTAAAGGTTTATTTATTTTTGAGAGAGAGCATGAGCAGGGGAGGGATAGAGAGAAAGAGAGACACAAAATCCGAAGCAGGTTCCAGGCTCTGAGCTGTCAGCACAGAGCCTGACATAAGGGCTCGAACTTGTGGGCCATGAGATCATGACCTGAGCTAAAGTCGGACGTTTTACTGATTGAACCAGCAAGGTGCTCCAGGAGCTATTTTTCTTTAAAAAAAAATTTTTTTTTAATAGTTTTATTTATTTCTCCAGACTCTGAAATAGGCTCCAGGCTCTGAGCTGGCAGTCAGCACAGAGCCCGACGCGGGGCCCGAACCCACGAACCGCGAGATCATGACCTAAGCAAAAGTCGGACGCTCAACCGACTAAGCCACCCAGGCGCCCCAAATGTTTGTTTATTTTTGAGAGAGAGATAGCGTGAGAGCGAGTTAATGCGTAAGTGTGCTTGAGGGGCGGGGCAGGGAGAAAGGGGAACAGAAGATCTGAACCAGTCTCTGTGCTGACAGTAGAGAGCCCAATGTGGGGCTTGAACTCATGAACCATGAGCTCGTGACCTGAGCCGAAGTCAGACCTTAACTGATTGAGCCACCCAGGAGTCCCTCCAGTAGCTATTTTTAATTAAGCCATAATACCTGAATATTTTTCCTTTAGAATTTTTGGGTAGTGGTTAAAGAATACTGAAAATAGGTAAGGGTTAGGATGAATCACTGATATATTAATACCTTCGTGCTGCACAAAGAAGGGGTGGGGAAAAGAGGAAAGATGCTTTGGTCTTATTTATTACTCAAGTATTTGTGAAAAAGTTCTTTTAGAAAAAGCTCAAGCAAGGAATATTAGTCTGCCCTCTACCTCTCCAGTAATTGAAATCATTCTCTGCTGTGGTCATTTTGTGAACATTTACAGGAGACCTAAATACCTTCACCTTAGAAAAAACTAAAGCAAAAGTGGATGCTAAAAATTTAAATCCTGCATTCCTCCCTAGGAAAGGGTCTTATGATTAAGTCTTGTGGCAAGGGCTTAGGAATCCCCATTTTCAAACACCACAGGGTGTTATGTTGCAGATTTTGAGAAACTAGATTATGTAATTTTTAAGACAGGATTTTTATTTTTTTTAAATCCATGCCCAACATGGCACTTGAACTCATGACTCTGAGATCAAGAGTCACATGCTCTATTGACCTAGCCAGCTAGGTGCCCCAAGAGAGCACAGTTTTGTTGCTACTTTATATTCTTATTAAGGTTACAGTATCATAAGTTAGTGATTTTCAAACTTTTGAGCATAGTTCCAAATGTATTTTACATGTGCATCTGTATATACATACATACACACATGAAATGAATTCATTGCAGTTACATATGTTTACAGTCTGATTTTTTTAAAATTTAAATCATAGTTGTGATCCTAGAAATTGATATCTCAACCAACATCTCCACCATTAGTTATTAAGTTGCCCATGTTAGGGAGACAACTGTGATGGAGTAGTACATTGATACCCCTCTTCTTCTTACAGTGATTTAATCTTTCTGGTCCTTTGAGAAAGTTTTCTTAAAAATTTTTCTGCTTTTGCCAGTCATCCACCACTCACAATTACCAGCTTGGCTTCTTTTTTTGTCCCCCTTTCGGTGCCTTGTTATTACATACTGAAGTGCCTTCCTGTGTTAGTAAAAAACATCTAATGCTTGTATTTAATATGCTTAAGAGAGAAAGGCAAGGAAAAAAACCCCAGGTATGAAATTAATGTTTTTATTAAACTGAGGGAAAATATATCAGATTCCACAGCTTATTTGATATGAAATTCTAAAATAGTTGGCTAGATCACCCTCATAAATTAAGGCTGGAGAAATGTTCCTTTAGTCTAGTAAATTAGTTGAAAATGGGATCAAATTAGTTAAACAAAGTAAATTTTAGTCAAGAAACATGGCTGACATTTTCCTGTTACTCCTAACCTGAATCCTTAGTGGTAAGAAATAATGTTACCCCCTTTTACACAAAACCTATATCTAGTGAGGTTTCGTAACACCTGTGGATATAGAGTTCATAAGAACAGGTGTGAAACTTTACCTCAGACATTAGGATGATTATGGTTTTAGTTATGCCAAATAAAAGAACCGCATTTTTTCTTCCACTGAAAACACCATCTCACCTCAGATAAGTTATATTGTTTTATGTAGTTCGATGTTAAAATCCAAGAATCACATCTCTTGTTCTGTCATCTTGAAAAAGCGGTCATTGAGCACCTACATATAAGTGAATAGGCTAAATGCCCAGGGTACCTTGCAACGAAATAGGAAGCCAACATTAAGTACCAGGTACTAGAACAGAAAGCCACTTTGCAGAGTCTGATGTAGAGAGGAAGGTGTCCATTGTGGACTAGCCCAGATTCAAATTTGTCCCACTCTAGGTAAAAACTTTCCTCTTCCTTTGTAGTTTGTAAGTATTTCTCTCAAGCTGTTGGTTTGTGGTCACCAAACAGAAGGCTTCAGGAAGAAAATGATTTGGGTGTTAGAACTATTAGAACCTGGTAGTGTGGGCTCTTCATGCATCCCTGTGTACGTTCAGGTGTGTGTATAGTCCTAAAAACTTAATCTCAAGACTTCTTCCCAACAGAGATCTTCTGAACCTTTTGGGAGACATAAGGACATTTTAGAGAGTAGAGAGTATAAGAACCATGACTCATTCTTGTGAAAAAGACATGTAAAATATTTGCATCTTAAGTTGGTTTAGACTGCCTGAGGCTGATCCATGGGTTCTAAGCACCTCTGCCTTAAAGGATTGACATTAGAATTGTGTTCACTGGTATTCAAACACCATGAAATAGTGCTTAAGAGTAACCTGCTAATAGGTATATGATGACATTTTTTGGTAGTGTGATTTTATTTTTATGTGCAGGAATCTGAGTGTAGCAAGTTTAGCTTTAAGAGTTCTTGCTGTTTAGCCCAAGGAGGATTAAATCACATTGATTTCTAAATCTACATGAGAAACAAGGTTATATTGACCCCTGTTTTATTTGAGATTGGGAATTGTAAAGATTGGTGTTCTATACGAGTGCTTTGCAAACTGGGTCAGGACCAGTTTTAAAATCCATGCAATGTGTCATTATGTATCACATAATATGAGGTTAAGTATTCAGTGAAACTTTGGCTTAAGTGTGCATTTATATATGTATACCTACATAAATGTTTATTAGATTGCAGTGTGAAGATATTTTTTCAGTGTGTGCTGTGTTTTAAGAAGTTAGAAAGCCACAGCTCTATACCTGTCTGCTTGTGTGGTAACTTGAGCATCTGAATTTCTCATGTTTTTGTGGTTTTGGGGGGCAGGAGGTAGATGAAGGGCTTAAGAGTTAGGGTGCAAGAGTAAAGGATCAGCTGTCTTTGAGTCTTTAGTGATTAAACAAAGTTGAGATGGGATTTTACTGATTCAGTGTTTTGGGGTAATTAAGGCTGAATTTGTTTTGTGAAGCTTTTGAAAGCTCATATAACCAGAGGGAGTTACTATGTATGCTGCAAATTTATAGTTGCATTTGTTAGACTTGCCCATAGTGCAGCGAATGTAATATCAAATGACATTTCGTATTTAGCTATCTGATAGAATGCCTTTCTGATCCAAGACTGAAAGGTCTATTTTAAATAATCTCAGTTATTCTGGCACTGCTTAGAACAGTCATTTGAGTTTATACCTAGATATACAATCTGTTTAAACCTAAGATGTGGGACCAATAAAAAATTGAAGGGCTTTGGGATTTTGGGGGCCAGGTGGTCAGGTATTTGTTTTTATTCTTTAGTATGAAATAGTTTTCAGGAAAGGTCATACAAGCAAACATTAAGCAAACATTAGGTGGTGTTTCAGTTTAAGAAACTGAATCTTCAACATTGAGTTAATGGCTTCTTCTTTTCTTTCATTTCTTTCCAAGGTTTGGGCCCCATGGGATCCCTGTGACAGTATTTCCCAAAAGAGAATATAAGGATAAACCTGAAGCCATGCAGCTCCAAAGTAATACATTCCAGGGAGGGACAGAAGTCAAGCGTGAAGTGAATGGTGCTGTCCCCGATGACCCTTCTCCTGTCTCACCTCCCGAACCGAGCTTGGCGGAAAGCCTGTGGACTTGCAAACCACCACCTCTCTTCCATGAAGGAGCACCTTACCCTCCCCCTTTGTTTATCAGGGACACCTATAACCAGTCAATACCTCAGCCACCTCCTCGGAAAATTAAGCGACCCAAACGAAAAATGTACAGGGAAGAACCTACTTCAATAATGAATGCTATTAAACTACGACCCAGGCAAGTCCTGTGTGACAAATGTAAAAACAGTGTTGTTGCTGAAAAAAAGGAAATTAGAAAAGGTAGTAGTGCAAGTGACTCTTCTAAATACGAAGATAAGAAACGGAAAAATGAAAGTGTAACTACTGTGAACAAAAAACTGAAAACTGACCATAAAGTGGATGGGAAAAACCAAAATGAAAGCCAGAGAAGAAATGCTGTGGTTAAGGTTTCCAATATTGCTCACAGCAGAGGCAGAGTAGTCAAAGTTTCTGCTCAGGCAAACACATCAAAAGCTCAGTTAAGTACTAAAAAAGTGCTCCAGAGTAAGAACATGGATCATGCAAAAGCTCGGGAAGTGTTGAAAATTGCCAAAGAAAAGGCACAAAAGAAGCAAAGTGAAACCTCTACATCCAAAAATGCACATTCAAAAGTCCATTTCACACGTCGATATCAGAGTCCCAGCTCAGGTTCCCTTCCACCCCGGGTTCGTTTAAAACCACAGAGGTACAGGAATGAGGAGAATGACTCTTCTTTGAAGACAGGACTTGAGAAAATGCGGAGTGGCAAGATGGCATCCAAGCCCCAGTCTCGCTGCACCTCTACCCGCTCAGCAGGTGAGGCCCCTTCAGAAAATCAGAGTCCCTCAAAAGGCCCCGAAGAGGCCAGCAGTGAGGTTCAGGACACAAATGAAGTGCTTGTGCCTGGTGAGCAGGATGAACCACAGACACTGGGCAAAAAGGGCAGCAAAAGCAATATCTCTGTTTACATGACCCTAAATCAAAAGAAATCTGACTCTTCCAGTGCTTCAGTGTGTAGCATTGATAGCACAGATGATTTGAAATCCTCCAACTCTGAGTGTAGTTCTTCTGAAAGCTTTGATTTTCCTCCAGGCAGTATGCATGCACCTTCCACCTCCTCCACTTCCAACTCTTCAAAGGAAGAGAAAAAGCTCAGTAATTCCTTGAAAATGAAAGTTTTTTCCAAAAACGTCTCTAAATGCGTCACACCAGATGGCAGGACCATATGTGTAGGGGACATTGTTTGGGCCAAGATCTATGGCTTCCCTTGGTGGCCAGCCCGTATTCTTACTATAACTGTGAGCCGCAAAGATAACGGGCTTTTAGTTCGACAGGAGGCCCGTATTTCATGGTTTGGGTCTCCAACAACCTCTTTTCTTGCTCTTTCGCAACTCTCCCCCTTTTTAGAAAACTTCCAGTCACGCTTTAATAAGAAGAGAAAGGGCCTGTATCGCAAGGCTATCACAGAGGCGGCTAAGGCTGCCAAGCAGCTGACCCCTGAAGTGCGGGCTCTGTTGACACAGTTTGAAACGTGAACATGGACAGTAAGGTAGGCAAGAACCGTTGGAAGGCGCCACAGATTTTCTAGTCTAGTTAGGAGTCACTTCTACGAAATAGCTTGGCCAAATCGGAGGGAGAAATTGTATGGTTGGCTGATGTTTTTATACTTAACTTATAGCCATTTTTAGACTGAGAAGCTAAAATTGAACAAGCAATCAGAATTTGTCTTAAGGAAGTAAGATTTCAGCAGTATTTTTCAGTTTTGAAGTCAAACCATCACAAGGCATAGGAGCCATAGCCTCAACTGAAAATGAATTTTTGCAGGGACTGTTAATTGCCATTTGTACCTAGTACTGTGTGTATGTGTGTATATTTATATATATACACACATGTACATATGTGTGTATATGCATGCACACATACATACATATATATGTATACATATATATATATATAAAATATAGCCTGTCACTGTGTGACACAGGTTGCATATTTGGGATTGCAGGAAGGGCTGGTGAGCTGGGGGGGGTAAATAGTGTGGATATTTAATAACTACTTGTTTTTAATTAATGAATACTTAGCCTTTCTATGTGCACAGTGGCACAAGAGTTTGATACTTAGGTGTTTGACAAACTGAGATGCTTGCTATTCAGTTGCAGACTGGGGAGAAAGCCCAGTATTTGGGGTTAAGATTTTCAAGGCTAATAGGTTTTTGAATCGTCACTCTTTTGTTCAATGGGGATTTAACAAAAACTTTCAAATTTCTGGTTTGGGAGTTTAGGTAGGTTTGTCTTTGGATGTGTAAATAGTTGATCGCTATATTTGGTCAGATTTCTCCTGACTGGCTGTTCCTAAATTCTTAGGATACGTCTTGGTAAATTACACTTTGTGAATTAATTGTCATATGTGTAATTGTTGCATTTTGGATGTACCTAATTTGATAATTTTTAAAAAATATTTCCATTTAAGGTATCTGTTTGCAGGTCAGAAAATGAGAAAATGTAATTGTGTAATGCTCTGAAATGTAAAAAAAAAAAAAAAGCTGTAAATAAAATCGACTAAATCCAAATTATTTGTGTGTGTTTCTCAAAAAGCTTTGAAAAATTTCAAGATGGTAGAAAATTATTCTTTGTAATAGTATGTAGAGGAGATGAAAGAAATTAAACTTTTATTTTTGTATTTGTCCTATCAGAGAAAATATCTGAGGATAGATGAAATTCAAGTAAGTGATTAATCCACATATTCTTAAATGAAGTTTTACAGCATATAGGTCTGATGTGCTTCTAGATTTGAGACACTCTTCCCTCCAATTTCTCATAAATGTGTGGGTTTAATTTTCCTCATTTTTAGCCTTAATATTTCATCACATGGTTCTTGTAATTATAACCAGTCTCTCTTCTGCCTGGTCTTCTGCCTCAGGTATCCTTGCTTTTGGGGCTAGTAATTTAGATCACGATTTTTCTACATGGTCCATCTGTCCCTCAGATTTAACTTATTTTCTATTTTTAGCTTTTTATTGTTAGTGAAAAATAGATCCGATTGCCTGTTGGAGGCAACTTTATCCCAAGATTTTTCAAGTTGCTTTCATATTTTTTAGTGTCGAACTTACCTTTAAATTTGATGCAGTATCAATTTGACATGGAAAATTGAAAATTATAAATAGAGCAGCTTTTTGTGTAATTCTAAGTAATCCAATTTGAAATCTTAGTTACCTATGGAATTAATGGAGATTAAAATCCATAATCTTCTGTCAGCTTCCTTAAGATTATGGACTTCTATGATTTATGCACTGATTTCTGCAAAAGCAAGTAGAATTTCTTCTGGGGAACTCAGTCAATGCTTTTTGATTATAATAAACACACAATTGATAAAAACAATGTTGCACTTGAATAGAACATATTCTTTCCTGCAAACAGAAACAACTATACTATTTAAAATTCTTTGATTATAACAGGTTGAAAGATGTTCACAGTGTGATTGAGGAGTTTTAAGGAATTATCTTAAAAGATTTTTTGGGTATTTGTTTCAGATTAATGAACTTGTTCACTCAGATATTTTTGAAAGTTTGAAATCTAAGGTTCAGAAAGATTTAAACAAGGCAGAGCAAAAAGTCACCTAAAATATGTAATTCCAAGGCTTCATGTAATGATCCAGGTGAGTTTTATCTTAACACAGTGGGTTTGACCGTGATTATTGCTAATAGTCAGATGCTTTGGCAAATGTGCTCTGGTTGCATAAACCAAATTTGATTTATTTCAGAAGCCATGGAGAAAAAGAATAACAAAGTCCTAATTGTTGAGTAAAATAACATTCAATTTTATGTAGTCCATACCACTGAGGGAAAGGTTGAAACATAATCACTAATATGCATGATTTCTATCTTGCCATATAGTCCCTCTGTTTTAAACTGTGGCACATTTCATCTGAAGTTTCCTTAGGAGAAGAAACTTTAAAGAACTGCTTAATCTTAAAATCTGTTTATTCTAAACACTAACCCAACAGTTGCATATTAGTGTTTTATTCAAATGGAAATTTTAAAAAAGCTTTGAGTATGGTTGACACACAATGTTACATTAGTTTCAGGTGTACAGCATAGTGATTCATTTTCTCTATGCATTATGCCAAATAGAAATTTCTTAAACAGCTTAATTTATCCAATATTTACTGCAGATAGAGATGGAGTTGAATTGGATACTTGTGGCCATTTTCCTTTTACATTTTTCTTTAAAGTGGTCAAGAAGGAGGCATTTACTTTCTGTATGGAGATAACCATATGTGGTTTTTTCTCCTGGCAGAGAGAAAACTAGGCTTAGGCCAAATCACCTTTCAGTGGTCTAAAAAAAGTGGCTAGAATAAAGGATTACCAAATAAAAATAAGATGTATAACAGCAAAAGATGTCTATTTCTAGAATTACTCAGAAATTTAAAGCATCAGAGTATTTTTCTCCAGTTTCCCAGAACTAAACAGCTGAGTGTTCATCTGAAAGGGTATCTTTTGGACTCATTTATATGTGGAACCAGAGATCAGCAAGATAAGGAAAGTAGAATTCATTAGTGTGGAGCCCACTTGCATGACTTGATGGACATGTATATTCTATGTGCTTTTGAAGAAGGGAAAATCTATAAGTAATAGTACTAAGTAGAATAGATAAGAGTATAGATACAAAGACTGACAGAAGGCAAGGAATATGAAAGTGCTACCCAAATCAACTAGATGTGCATCTTAATTAGTGGGTTTGAGTTTCTGATTTACAAAATAATGAGTTGCACCCCTATTTTGAACAGGTCATACTTAATATTGGTTATGGTGAATGAACGATACACATTTGCATTCCTTTACATACATAGACAAGTCCTTTATATAGAATAACTGAGTTGGGAATTAGAAAACAGGCCTACCTCAGATACTGTGGGTTTGGTTCACACCACCCAATAAAGTCATGAATTTTTTGGTTTCTAAGTGCATATACAAGTTAATTCTGATATATTGTAGGCTGTTAAGTGTGCAGTAGCATTGTGTCTTAAAAATAATGTGTATAAATTTAAAAATAGCTATATTGCCAAAAAATGCTAACCATCTGAGCTTTCAGTGGGTTGTAATCTTGTTCCTGGTGTGGAGGGTCTGGCTTTGATGTGGATGGCTGCTGACCGATCAGGGTGGTGGTTGCTGAAGGTGGGGGGGCTGTGGCAATTTCTTAAAATAAGACAATAGTGATGTTTGCTGCATAGATCAACTCTGCTTTTCATGAACGATTTATTTCTTTGTGGCATGTGATGTTGCTGTTAGATGGCATTTTACCCACAGAAGAACTTTCAAAACTGCAGTCAGTCTTCTCAAAGTCCGTTTATCAGCTACGTTGATGTCATAGTCTAAATCTTATTGTCGTGTCCACACTCTTCACAGCGTCTTCACCAGGAGTAGATTCCATCTCAAGAAACACTTATCTTTGCTCATCCATAAGAAGCAACTCCTCATCTGTTAAAGTTTTATCACGAGATTGCAGCAACTCAGTCCCATCTTCAGGCTCCACTTCTAATCCTAGTTCTCTTGCTATTTCTGCCACATCTGCAGTCACTTCCTCCACTGAAGTCTTGAACCTTCAATTTGTAAAAAAAGCAGTATCTGCGAAGCGTAGTAAAGTGAAGCACAATAAAACGAGGTATGCCTGTACCTTAAGAAATCTATAATTTGGATCTAAAATTAGATTTTTCCTTTTAAATTGTGAATCTGCCTATGGTTTGTGCTCTATTGGTTCATTTTTGTTTAGTGCTCCTAGCAGAGAAGGGACTGGCAAATATCTAGAAAACTTGATAATGTTTTGCCTCAGGATATTGTTTGGATTTGGGCCCAGTGAAGGCCTCCAATAGGGGATTTGCCAGAATGAAGACCCTAAGTTGGGGCTAAAGTTAGCCTTTGCTTTGGGATTGTATTAGTATGGTGGCTGTTAAGATGGTCTCTAACTGAAATGCCGGATACAGGGAATTCAGAAGTAGAACAAAAAGCAGCTGGTGCCATGCCAATTGCCAGGAGAAAATAAGACAGCTAAGCTGAATTAGTTACTTTTAGCTGGTTCTGACTGAGCTAAGAGGCCTTTCATATTCCATATTCACAATTTTTGTATACTTACAGTATGGGTTCTATGCACATACAGAGTGCATAGAATTAAAAAAAAAAAAAAAGCTTTAGCAATTAGTATGCCCTGTTGTGCTGTTCTGAATAAAGGGATAGAAGGTTTAAAGTCCTAGTGATAAGGATGCTGTCTGTAGGGTTAGTTTCCCAGGATGTCTGAGTGTGTCTCCTGTGGGGTGGTGGCACCCAGAGGAGAAACCGCTCACCTCTTGTTTAGTCTTTACTCAAGACACGTGCAGAGTCCAGGATTTTCTCCCTTCCCTTGTGACTAGGTGGAAATTATTTTCTTCCCTCAGATTAACAGAACACTGTAATTTGTTAGGTTTTTTTTTTTGTATTTTAAAAATTAAGTACACCTCACATAAAATTTATCATTTTAGCCATTTTTTAAAAAAAGTGTACAGCTCTGTGTCATTAAGTACATTTGCATTGTGTACCCATCACCACCTTTCCATTTGAATTTGGATTTTGATAGAAATCTTTTACGTCTGGACTGATACTGTTCTAGAAGCTGGAAATTAAGTCACAGGAGTGTTTTTCTTGGTCCAGCACTGTGATTGGAACATGCACCTTATGCCTGGCTTCCAAGATTCCTTCCTCATCAGCCTGGAGTCCTGGTTAGTGCTAATGGTGCCCCATGTTTAAGAGCTGTACCTGCCTCGTGGTAAAATTTTTAGATGAGTTAGTGTGACTGAATTTGCCCATTAAAATCACTTAAGGTAAGTTTTAAGTTAAAACCATTCCCTCCCAGTGACAAAAACAGTTGTTTTGGACAATTTTATGAACATGGAAGCCACTGAAATTGTTTTACTAATGGAATTAATTAGCTTCCAAAACTTAAATTATTTACATACCATCATACTTTTGCCATATTTTCAAATTTGTGTACTGTTACTTTTACGCTTTTGATGTCAATACAGTTAATGAAAAACACCTACTCCTTGACGTACATACTATTAAAATTCTAAGATCATTTTGTGTACCACACTCTGGTAGGAAATGCTGAAGTAAAGCAGTTTTTTATCCTGCCTTTAAGTTCATTTTGGGATGGACTGAGTCAAATTTTAATGGATCTAATTTCTGAAAAAAGCAATTGTTGAACTTGAATTTTTCTTACAGATTTCTGTGTTATTGTACAGGTTAAGATTGGTTACAGGGAGGTATAAAGGAAAAGAAACCATAGACTCAAAAATTACAAGGACTCAACAAAATACTGAATTTCTGAGTCAGTCTTATTTCCAGCTGAATAAGTTAGATGGCTTGTAGTATATGTTGTCTAATTTATAGGCTTTCTACTATTGGACACTTTTGTTTATAAAGCAATTTCTTAAAACTCTGGTGTTGAAAACAGACCAGTTAAAAAATTCCTAGTCTTAAAACTTGGTTTAAATATGAATTAAAGTTTTTTTCTTTAAATTACTGACATTTGTATAAGGCCTCGTTAAAAATAAGTTGAAGACCTATCCATAATTTATATATGGAATTTTCCTTATAATCATAAGAATGTGACAGGTAGCTGCTTTTTATTACCTTAGAAATCTTAAGTCTTAACCAGAAGTTATGATTTAAAACTCATAATTTTTTTCTATCCTAGTGCCTGTATCTAGAAGGAAAACCACATATGCCATAGCTAAAGCATTATGCTGTTAATTATCACACTTTCCCCCTTTTCATTTAAACTAAAAACATTTGGGTCACCTGGGTGGCTTAGTCTGTTAAGTGTCTGACTTCGGCTCAGGTCATGATCTCACGGTTTGTGCTGTCAGCACAGAACCTGTTTCAAATCCTCTGTCCCCCTTTCTCTCCCCTTCCCCTGCTCATTCTCTCTTTCTCTCAAAAATAAATAAACTAAAACACTTGTAATTATAATGTATATCATTATATACATGTACTCATTATAGCACAAAGATTCACTTAAAAGTTACTGAAAAAGTCTAGAAGGGATATAATTTTTCTTAGTAAAACACTTTTTTGCTTGCCTGGGGAGAATGTTTTATAAGAATCTGAGGGTTATCCTGTTGAATGTAAAATATAGAAATGGATACTTGCAAATATATAACTTGACTGTGACCAGCAGTGCTCCATACCGGGCTTTTATTGAGCAAAGAGTCTTTTTTTTTTTTTTTTTTTTTTAAGATTTTATTTTTTAGTAGTCTCCACACCCAACATGGGGTTTGAACTCACAACCCTGAGATCAAGAGTTTCACGCTCCCGACTGAGGCAGGCAGACACCCGAGCCAAGGAGCATTCTTTCTCACTTCTCAGGAATGTGGTTGCAGGTACAGGCTCTTGAGCCAGATTTTGTCCTAGATTCAACGGGAGCCTTGGATTTGTCCTTTAAAAGCTAGTCGTGTGGGGGCGCCTGAGTGGCTCAGTCGGTTAAGCGTCCGACTGCAGCTTAGGTCATGATCTCACGGTTCGTGGGTTCGAGCCCCGCGTCAGGGTCTGTGCTGACAGCTCAGAGCATGGAGCTTGTCTTCGGATTCTGTGTCTCCCTCTCTCTCTGACCCTCCCCAGCTCATGCTGTCTCTCTCTCTCTCTTTCTCTCTCTCTCTCAGAAATAAACAGAACATTAAAAAAAAAAAAAAAAAGCTAGCTGTGTGATCTTAGGCTACTTCATTATCCTCCTCTGTGTTATGGGGAGAATTACAGTACCTCCTCCTAAGGTAGTTGTGAAAATGTAAAGCCATAAAGTACCTGGCACAAGACCTATAGAAAGAGGGGCGCCTGGGTGGCTTAGTCGGTTGGGCGTCCGACTTTCGCTTAGGTCATGATCTCGCGGTTCGTGGGTTCGAGCCCCGCGTCGGACTCTGTGCTGACTGCCAGCTCAGAGCCTGGAGCCTGTTTCGGAGTCTGTGTCTCCCTCTCTCTCTGACCCTCCCCTGCTCACACTGTCTCTCTCTCTCCTAGAAATAAATTAAAAAAAAAAAAAAAAAAAAAGACCTATAGAAAGAACTTGATGTCGTTGCCACAACACCGCTTTCTGTGTATGGCATAGAAATCTCATTTCTTGTGGCTTTTGAAATTAGCTTTGTGCAACATACGCTCATTAATAAAGTGTTAGAACTATGGTGTTCTTAGCTGAGATTTCAACAATCAAAGCATGGTCATCCATAAATAACTAGAAGTAGGCTGAACTAGTCCCAACGTGGGGGGCAAAGGTGCTTTATAGCGAAGGGAGAACTGTATTAACCTTGCATTTCAGCTCTCCCTTCATTCATTTACATAGTGTATAAATTCCAGTCTGTTCCTCTCCCACTTCTGCTCTCCTTTATGCCAAGCACAGGGCCTGACAAAGGAGAAACGATGCTGCTTGTGAATGGATGAGGAAAAGTAACTGTCTATTTCCGACAGTTATATACTAACAACCAATCACCATCTCAGAAGCCTGGCACATCCCAAATCATTTCAAAGACGTCTAGGAAGTAGCTGCGCTGGTGGGGGCACAGTGGAGTGAGTAGAGGTCCTCCTAAGAGAGTTTTATAAAGGCATCAGAACCACAGAGCTTTGCCTGACAGCTTTTAAATGTGTCAATTAGCTGATTTGCTCAAATGCCGTATTCCCTTAGGACTGTGATATTTTAATATTTTTTTGCCAAACGGTAAAAAGGTGGATATTAATTTGAACATTCCTTTTTATTTTTTATTGCTACTCGTATGATTGAGTAGATAGTTTCCACTTTTTAGGAGGGAAATACCATGCATTCCAAGGCCTTGATCGTGTGTTGTGGCCATATTTTCCAGAAGGTAGTCATCTTTACCCATGGCTCAATATTGAGATGCTGTTGATTACAAACCTATGATTCCCCCTCCCCGCCTTCTGCCCCAGTTTGGTTTTTAGCAGGGAATCTGGCTGGGAGTGGCAACTTAGTGTGAGTCCTGGTATGCTAGGAAGAACTATGTGCAGTTTGTCTAAAATCCTGTTATAACTGGTTAGAAAAACAGCACCAAGGCTAGAAAACCAGAATGTCTACTGTAAAATGAGGCACTGTGCCTTTCCTGTTTGTTCATGTTGCACGATACTACACTGTATTTTTGGGGGGGGGGTTGGGGGGGGGGAGAGAGAGAATATATCAGCAGGGGAGGAACAGAGACAGGGAGAGAGAGAATCCTAAGCAGGCTCTGTGCTGTGAGCATAGAGCCCAAGTGGGGCTTGATCTCTCTCACGAACCATGAGATCATGACCTGAGCTGAGATCAAGACACTTAACCAACTAAGCCACCCAGGCGCCCTGATATTACACTGTATTAAGGAAAATTTATATTGAGTGTTCAGCAAGATAACAGGTACATGTATATAATCTTTCTTTAGTTTTTAATGCTGAACTTTGCCCTAAGAGCATGGTCTGTACTTCCTTCTTCCATGACATCCCCCCATTCTGATCTGCACATTGATAGTTCTGCCTTCCAGGAATAGTTGCCATCGTTGCCCATAAGCTTTCTCTTAGAGGACAAAATAAGTAATTTCCAGTGAAACTGCTGCCTTTCGTGAGGGCATCCCTCCGTTTGTTGCATCACTGCCAGGGCTTCGCGGCTCTTTCTGATGGATCCTGTATGTGCAGTTCGTTTCTAAAGAAAACCCAAGGCCCTAAAAGCACTGAGGGAAAACTCAAAAATTAGCGCAAAAGACTTGTGAGCCAGGTTCTGTGGACTGGTGTGTTGATATTTTGTGTGGTGTTTCAGGGGCTTGGAGGGGCAAATGCACAGCAAAAGATCATTTTTTGATGGAGCTTCTTGACTCTCTTAACTAGGAAGAGAAATTTAGATTTAGAAGGATTGTTGAAACCTCACAAGTTTTACTTATGGAGGGAGAGTTTCAAAGTTAATTTTTTTGTGCACTCAGATTACTTTTTTCTTCTGTGATGGCTGTTGGATTACAATTAATAATATATAAAACATACTTAAATAGTGTATTTGTTTTCCCATGAACAAGAGGGTGCATAACCTTATTAAATCTCATTTAAAAAAAAGTGTTCTCTTTGAGTTAAAATTCAGAAGTAATTAAAGATTAGGTGTATGAGATTTCTCCTTTTCAATATAAGGAAGCTTTTTAAAAAAGTTTTGATTATATGTTACCGTTTCTGATGTACCTTAGCATTCTAAAAATCACTGTTTTATTATAAGGACTGAAAATCATCTAAATCAGTGATCTCAGAGTTGACTCTCTGGATGTGATGAATTGTTTATACTTAAAATAGGGAAGTAAGTAGGCAAGCAAATATGTTAAAAAATAAGGCTTAGAAATACCAATCCTTCATTTGAATTATTCTTAGTATTTGAAATCTCTGTTCTGAAAGCCCAAGGGAGAAAGCTTATCTTGTCAAACTTCTCTTAAGCAGGTATTAACTCACACAGGAATGTCAGGTCCTGAGTAGTATGCATAAGTGATTATTTGCATTAAAAGGAGAAAGGATTCAGGTAACTTTTGGTCATTGTGCAAAGTAGGGTCTTTGAGCACATTAATGAAGTTAACATGGACTAGGATGACAGCTTCAGCCCTCGCCGATCAGGACTACTACAACCCGAGGTTAGTGGCAGGCTAGAAGAAATTTTTTCGCAGGAACAGCACACGTGATTTAGCATTCTAGGGCAGCATCTTAGTGTGTGCGCCCCAAGGCGTTTTGCTGCTGAATTGACTTGAGCTGGAGTGTGCCCTCTCCTGGCCAAGGCTGGTGTGTACACACCTCAAGTCTTGTTTTCTTTTAGTATCCAAGCTTCACTTCCTGTGAAGTCAGCAAATTATCCAGAATACATTTGTTATGAAAATTCAACTGAATTTTGGTCTTATTTTTAAATTTTTTTTGTAAAGTGGATTTAAAAGAACTCAAATGACTGCTCTATTTTTGTTAACTTGGTTTTTTCTACCATAGGTCTCAACAAATGGCAGCTATTACATCAGACAGTGACGAGTCCTGCTGCTCCCTTACAGTGTCTGACAGACCACTGTGGATTCAGACTGGGAGCATTGAAGTTAACAGTGAAACGGGCAGGTCTGTCTGTGTTAAGCCCTGCCACAAAGTGAAGAGGGCATCATGTCATCACTCGATCATTCTAAAGTAGATTAGGCTAGACATTAGTTCATTAGTTCTTTTTCCTTAGTTTTCATTGACCTTGGTAGCTGGGTGTATCTCATAGAGGTGACCGTTTTACTGAATGAAAATAACTTTAAATTGGTATTACTTGCTGTGCTAAAGAAGTAGAGCCAGCTCTTGTGAGCTCCCACAAAAGGAGTTTCTCCTAGGGTGGTAAAAGTTGGGTATTGGATTGTAGAATTATGTCAACTAGCAACAGAGTCTTCGTGGAAAGTCATATAGTGGATTTCTCTATCTTTTCACTATCTCAGTCTTTCTTTGTCACTTTTATATTCATTTAACTTCTTAGTCATTCTTAATGTGTCTATATATAAGAATATATATGTCCACATATGAACATATATATATTCTTAATGAACTAACCTCAAAACCATTATCATTTACACAAGAAAGTAAAAACTCAGAGGGGGGCAAAAGATAATCCTGAAATGTGGCTGTAATCTTTTTATGTACATTTATTGAAACTTTCTTGGATAACTAATGCCTTAAAGGCTTATTTAGGACTCTTCTTCAGCTGGACAGGTTTAAGGATTTCTGATGTACTGCTTCTGAATTACGATCTCTTTTTGCTTCCTTGAATTAAGGCTATTTAACCCTCTCATGTTGGCAGCTGGTGGTGAGCTGTGACTGGGGTGTATCATTGTAGACAACCTGTCATTTGCAAGTTGGGATATTTTGGACTCTTACCTGGATTGTAGGGATGCTAGCTACCCTTATGGTGATTTCTTGAGGAAAAAGTGTTTTAGTTTTCTGTACCTCTCATAGGAATAATGAGACCTGCTTCAATCCTTGGCTTTCCTTTCAACCTGATTGGGCCTCACTAAAGTTGAAGCCAAATATTAGTCATAAATAGAAGGAAATGGAATTTTATGTGGGATTGGCTGTTTACTTTTTTTTTTCCTCTTTCAGTTTACTTCCAGAGTTCTGTGTGGGTCTAAATAGTATTATTAGTTTTAACAAATGAACTTTTCTTAGCTCAATGTCAATTCTGAAAGTGTTAATCATTCTGTTTCTTTAGAAGCGAAGACTACATTCACCTCCCATTCTGATGTGTGCAGTGTAGAAGCCATTTTCGTTGCTTGCCAAAAAAGCATGATAGAATGTCCTATAAGTTTATTTTATAGGCCTTGATCTAGTAAGTCAGTGAGGCAACACTGGGAAGCTTAACGTAAGATCAAGAGGTCTATCAAAGAATGGGAAAGACACCTACTTTGAAATATTCGGAAGTTAAACACTGGGAAGGATGGGGGTGGTTTTTCTTTCCTTTTTTTGCATTCTGTATTTGTTTTGTCCGTTATTATTCCACTGAAAACACCATAGGCTTTTGGTTTAAGAGTACATTTGACCAAAAAGTCATCATTCTCTCCACCATCACCTCTTTTGGAATTGAAGTTCTTATTGGTACTTAGTCTACCAGGCTTGAGGGGCATTAAGCAGGGATTATAGGGTTTCAATGGGGTTCTTACCACTTGGTATCAAAGGGAAGTTGATAATGTTGGGCAGAAATTCTGGTCTGCTTCCTGGCAGTCATTTTTATAAGCCTTGCCCTTTATAAATGTTTTTGCTTAGGTTGCTTTTTGTTGGAGGTGTGGTCAAGAGAGCCTCTGCTCATGACCTGGTGTGATAAGGGACACTACCGTGTCTAACGAGTGTACATAAGCGATCTTTGAGTAGAGAAATGGCACTCTTGATGCCTTCTGATGTGCTGTGTGTACCTCTGGGAAGGTGCCCTCCACCCTTCTTTTTTGCTCTTTGTACATGTGTGGACAGTATGCTCTGCAGCTGACTTGCACATAGCTTGGTTTTTTATAGGAATCTGCTCAAATCTGTAGGCACCCTGTGCTAGAGGAAGGCCTCTGGTGCTTCACAGTGGTGGTCACAGCAGCGGAGGACTCAAAGTTGAGTACTGTTTCAGGTGAAGTGACAGCATAAAGAACAAAGCTAAAATTTCCCCTTTATTAGGCAAATATTCATCAACTATTTTTAAAAATATATTCAAGTGCAGATTGTGTGAAGGTGTGACAAGTTTTGTGTTGGAATTTGGCCAGTTGTACCTCGGAAATAAAACAAATACTTCTGGTTTAAAGTGGATGTAACTTGTTTTCTCAAATATTGGTTAAGTTTAGCTGATTTAAAACAAAAAGTGTGATCCTATAATCTATGCAGGGCTGAATTTAAACAACAAGGACATAATTTTTCTCATATTTACGTGTGCTTAACTACCTTCTCTTTCTTTACTGTATTTCAGCACAAAGACATTAGCAGGCTGCTGGTTTCATGGACCTGTACCACAACCACACAGAACATCAGAGCATCAGGACTGAATGAAATTGGAGATTCAGATTTTTTAAAGCTGCACTAAGAAGTAAATGTTAAGGCAGTGGTTAAAACCGTCTATAAAGGGGCACTTGCAAAGTGTGCTATATTAAACCGAAGACAAGGCATTAGGGGAATGTTTTATAAAAAATAAACTATTGCAATAAGTTATGCATGAGAGGAGGAGAAAAGTGATATGAAACACACAAGGAACTCACTTGAATTTTATGTATGAAGAATCACTGACCGTAACTTTTTTTTGAATGTGAAGTTCTTCTTCGTACAGTGTGGACGGGCCTAAAAACGCAAGGGATGATGACAGAGAAGCTGAATTATTTTTTAAGCTAAAACTTTGTGCTTTCTCCAGGTTTTGTTAATCAGTTCAGCTATGAGCAAAGGCATTTCTAAAATGGATCTCCTGTGAAACAGCAATAGTCACATACGCCGAGGTGAGGCCAAGGTTTCCTTCAGGTGCCGGTGGAAACAGCAGAAAAGATGATCTAACATCCTACTAAATGGATGGCAAAGTGCCCCACTCCACCCCGCAGAGAGATGTTGGACCTTTTCTTTCTTTAATAAAGCAGGGCTGTATTATCTTGAATATACGTTTGCTTGTTAGAACATATTAAGATGTATTTATTTGCCACCAGTATTTAACATTTTGTGCACATTTTCATACCGGCATTCTTACCTTTTAAATTCTGACTCAAAGTGGATAGGCTAGTGTTGCTCTTAGAGTGAAACTGTGTACTCTAAGAGCTAGTTCTGAATTCTCCTGAGGTGGAAAGGCTTTCCCCCTGACTTGTGATGTGGACCTCATGGAGAGCCCTTCCTTCTAAGTGCGAGATATTCATTCTCCCAGGTGTCAGGTGGGACTTGACCCTGGGAACAAGCAGCAGGAACAGACCCATAATGAGCTTTCATGAACGGAACATGAATTCTTACTAATGGAGACCATACTGTTGTTTTGGTCTTTGGAAAACACATATTATGAAAAAGTTTTTCTTTTTAATGAATGGGGGAAACATTCATGAGAAAAATCAGATGGACCTATTAGTACTACATTTTTAAGGCATTTTATATTTGATGGTGCCGTACTTTTAATAATACTGAAGTTTTTTAGTGGCAATACTGATTTATTTTTTAAACCAGAAAGATAATCCATATTGATTACTTAATACAAAAAAGGGGAAAAAATGCCAAAAAATAAAATACAAAATTCATTTGAAGCAACATAACTGAACATTTGGCTCAAGTGTTAAAACTTTCCATAATCTTACTTGTATAGGTTTGGAATTACTTAACCCCACACTCAGGATTAAGAAAAGGTTCTGGGTACAAGTTGGAAAACATTTAATAGAGCTGACTAGGGCTTGTTTTACAACTCAAGAAAAGGTGGACAGTCTTTTAAGGGGCTTAATACAAATTTTAATTACACTGCAAGTAAGTTTGGAGCACATTCTAAAGTCATTTTGGAAAATTCTTCACGAAGTCATTATACATCCAATCTGAAAAGCTCAGGAACTAGCAGCAGGGAGTTCTAAAGATTACGTTTACTTCTGTGGCACCCTCTTCACGGCCCTAGGGCTTAGGCTTGGGTCCATCTTGTTCAGATATTGAACACCAGCAGTACCTTTCAGGCTCACTTCAAGAATCAGAGAACTCCAAGCCACGGTGGATTGTATAATAAGGATTTGTAATTAAGCTTTAGAATTCTTTGTGCAGAGTGATGGAAATAACCAAGAAATAATACAAAGGCAAAACCTGATCTCTCCCAATTCTTTTAAGTATTTTTTCTCATGATAAAATTCTCAAAGGCATTTTTAAATACATGAAATTTGGTGGTATTTAAAATCTAGACATACCATGTTGCTATTTCACTTATCATTGCTTTAGTTGCTTAATATTTAAGCTTTGCTTCATGCTACCTTTGTCTGTTTTTCAAATCTTCACAAGCCTATTTCATTTTGTAGACTTGAATGATAAAAACCGTTTCTCATCTAAAGTATGCTAAAACTTCAATGTTAAAGAATGTTGTGTAACATTTATCCAATAAAGTCTTGATTTTTTAAAATTTAGTTATTTAAAAACTTTTGTTTACTTTTTAGGAGTTAGGTTTGAAAGCTTATTATTTTCTTAACTATTAAGATTCAACCACTGTACCACTGTTGTTCTTTAGGGAGCTGTTTTAAGTAACACTGCCTCCTTAGGCAAGCAGCCTGTAAGTTTTTAATCATTGGTAGATTTTATGGGGCCCTCTACGACTAAAGGATAGAGGGTGAATAGTTTAATCAGGACCCTGTACATAGACATAACTGTTTTTCTTCAAATTTTTATTTAAATCCTAGTTAGTTAACATATAGTGTAATACTGTTTTTCAGGAGTATACATATGGTTTTCTTTTCTGATGGAAACAAATATACAACCCTTCAGAGTTGGATGTAATTAAATATCTGTTCGTAGGTTCAATTTTAATAAGTCCTGCCATTATGGATAAATGGTTGCCTCTTTAAAAGCCCAGGATGTCTGGGGTACCTGGGTGGCGCAGTTGGTTAAGCATCTAACTGTTGATCTCGGCTCAGGTCATGATCTCACGGTTTGTGGGTTTGGGCCCCACATGGGATTCAGTCTCTATTTCTTTCTGACCCTCCCCCACTTGTGATGGCTCTCAAAATAAATAAACTTAAAAAATAAATAAAAGCCCAGCATGTCCGATGTATTTGACCAGAAACACTCATCAGGAAAAAATTAGCTTTTTAAAGCCTACCAGACAGCTGACATTTTTCAGACTGACCCAAAAACTTAGGTTAGTGTGTTTTGCCCCCTGAGCACCCCCCCACCCCATTTGAGATAAGCAATCCTTTAGAAGGCTGCCTGTTATTCCAGAGTATATGTGAAATCTTTAATCTCAAACATTCTCCCATTTCAGTTTATAGAAGTGTAAAGAGGAGGTCACTGGAGTATGGCTCTGTTTATATCTTTTATCGCCCTGAAGTTTCCTACTAATGGAAATGGAACTAGAGAGAACCAAGGTAAACTCATGCACACATTATCTGGAGGGCCTCCACATGACACCCACCCCACCCCACCACATTCCTGATCATGTTATATACATATGTCAGTATGTTTACAGACCCACCTCCTAACACAGGAGGGGATGAGTGATGAAACCCATGGATACAACTCAGGATCTTTCTGGTGCTCTCTTCATATAAGGAAATGTAAGTTTGGATTCATGCCCTGGAATCCTTTATGGAATGTACCGGTACCTCCCCAGACATGCTGGGTATGTCACTGCAAATATGCACTACAGGTAAAATTAAGCTATTTTCCTGCTTTTATACCTAATAACGCATTTCTCCTGCAAGTAATGCTTCTTCCCTCAATGCTTTGAATAGAGCACACTGCGTTTCTTTAGGCATACCTTGCTCTAGTGATGAACATCCTGCCACATCTTTGCTTATTCACGATGAAATTTCATGGCCTAAACTCCTTTGCTCTATTATCAAGAAGGTAATGAACCTGGAACAAAAGAGTAGAAGTGAGTAATACTGTGCCAGAAGAAGAGCGAGCTGGCCAAACCCAAGCTCCAGGTCACTGTACTTAATAGTTTTGGGGGGCACCTGGGTGGCTCAGTGGGCTAAGCATCCGACTTCAGCTCTGGTCATGATCTCACGGTTCATGGGTTTGAGCCCCGCGTCGGGCTCTGTGCTGACAGCCAGCTCAGAGCCTGGAACCTGCTTCGGATTCTGTGTCTGCCTCTTTCTCTGACCCTCCCCTGCTCACACTCTCTCTCAAAAATAAATAAAACATTAAAAAAAAAATTAGCCACACTGGCCAAAGCCATGGAAGATGGAATTTTTTTAACAGTTTATTGTCAAGTTGGTTTCCATATAACACCCAGTGCTCATCCCCACAAGTGCCCTCCTCCATTCCCATCACCCCCATGCCCATCACCCACCTTCCCCTCCCCCCACCGCATCTGCCCTGTTTGTTCTCGGCATTCAAGAGTCTCTCATGGTTTGCCGCCCTCCCTCTCACCCACTATTTTTCCCTTTCTTCTGGAATTTTTTTGTTGTTGTTGTTGAGTGACCTAGTCTATAATCTTGTGCTTCTAAGTTCAGTGCCTAATTCCTGAGTGGACAGCTCAGACCTGTGCAGGTGAACCATATCAGCGAACTGAAGTACCTCAAGGTAAAGGAGTCCCTGCTGTGTCACTGTTACAGAAAAGCACATCCAGGGCTTCAGTAAGACACAAAGCAACCTTGTGCAAGACAGGGATGGGGCGGGGCGGGGCGGGGGGGGGGTCCTTCACAAGTTTAAACGAAGCTGCTCTAAGGCAGTTACTCTCGGCCTGCGATGCCAGCTCTGCCAACGGCAGGATCTCATCAGTATCACAGTCTCAGGAAATTACCTGACTTTTTCTTCCAGTTAACTTCATGAAGAAAAGTTGCAAGTAGCATATTCTATTTTGGGGTAGTCAAACTATCCTATGAAACAATGTTGTGTACTTCAGACCAAGTACCAGAGGGCGTCCACCAAAGCCTACATTCTTTGAAATGTAAACACTGTTCTCCCCACTTCACTCCATTCCCTTGCTTCCCATTCCTGGCCTCCCTGAGGACTTGTGTCTTTCATCCGCCTCAAGACTTCACCATCTGTGGATTTCTGACTTGTTACGTTTGGGGGATTGGAGGGCACTTGGGTGCTCAGGTGGCATTAGGTGGCTGCCTCATGGGTGTCCAGGTGGGGTGCCTGATGTAGACAGCCCCCCGACACAGCATCCCACAGAGGGACAAGGGTCCAGTATCTTCAGATCTAGCTCCTCACCTCTGGAACTAAGGACTTCCTGAAGAGGCTTTTGAGTCATTTCCCTTCACATCTGCCATGATGCCTGACGGCTTAGAAGCCCCAGGGCCAGACAGGAATTCCCATCTGTCGGGCTGCATTTTTCAGTGAGCCAGAGCTCTAAGAGCTGGGAATGAATCATGGCTACGAGTGGTTAGCTAGGTGCTTTCTCAGCAGTGGGACAGAAGGCCATACCGTGCTTTAGCTGAGGGAAGGGTGAGCTTCCAAAGTTGTCTCCTGAGTGAAAGCAAAACGAAAGTAAGGAGTCGTATTTCTAGTTCTGGCTGATAGAGCTTAACTCCTATATGATGGAGTTTATTCCTAGTTTGCAGACCTCAGAGAGCTGGAAAATCAGAGGACTGTTATTCTTGTTACAGAATATTCCAAACATTTGTAAAGTAGACTAGCATAACTAAGAAACCCCGTGTATCCACCCCTAGCTTCAACAATTACCAGCTTGTAGCCAGGAGGACTGAAATGTTTAATGCTCTGAAATATGAGGGCCATGCTCACTAGTTTTTATAAACCAACGTTACTACTTTCTCGACTTCCCCGCCCTTTGAAGAGTTTGAAGGAACTGTTCCGATTCTCTAGGGTTATTTTAGCCCCACCTCTTGGGCTGCCTGGTAGCAAGTAGTCCATTGCTTATTTTCAGGAGCACTAATGGCCTCGGTCTAGTGTGGACTCAGGGCAGCTTTTCACAGATAGCAGGAAGCAAGTGGAAATGATCACCTTTTTCTGTACAGCTTTTAACCGTACAGTTTCCTATAGAAACAGATTTCCTAGCCACTTCTGGTACAATGTGCACATACTTCCTCTTTTCAAGGAAATGCAGGTGACAGAAGGACTAAGCTTGTTACTATCGAAGTACAGAGGGGGGCAGGGTGAAAAGGAGCATACACATCTCAAAGCGCTCCAAGATTTTACTAGAGTTTGGGGGTGTGTAGCAAGCACACAGTACACCCCAACAGAAATATTAGAGGAAGAGTTCAATGCCTTCAGAAATAAGGTGAGGATGAAGGGAAAGGCTAGATCACGGCAGGAAGTGATCACGGCAACACAAACACACAGAACAAGCAATAGCCAGGCTGGCAGTGACCCCCGGGCTGCACCCCGAAGACTGAGCTCCCATAGCTCTATGCTGCCATGTAGGGCAACAGCAAGCTTAAGGGAAAGCTTGGATAACAGGAAAAGGGACAGAGGCTTAAATCACTGATTTTTCCTGTCCTAAGAGGCTTCTCAGATTGGCACTCTGGTCTTAGAGGGTTACTGGACCTTGCCTTTTAAAGATCTTTCTTAGGGATATTAAAGCAGCCATTCGCTTGCACAGCTGTTCCATCCTCCTTGATCTTCCCCTTTGACATTCCAACTTTTGCTAAACAGGTTGTAAAAGACAGGCTTTGCAGGTCTGGTTAGCGCTTCGGATCAGACAACCCTTGCAAATACATCTTCCAATCAGGTTTACATTTAACACCTGCTGCCAGGTCTCTAGCCCACGACAGTCTATTCAGTCAGTAAAATACCTCCCTCTGTCTGGTCTTCCTAAATCAGTCTGGATTCCAGCTTGAGAGCTGTGTGAAATGTAATTCAATTACATTTCCAATAGGCGTGGAGGCCAGCTCCGTGACCTACAGCACCAGAAATAATCACCAGGCCCAACATTTCCAAAAGCAGTTCCCTACTTTAAAGACAAAATGTTGCAAGAAAAAGGACTTTCATCATTTAAGACTGAACAAACATTCATGCCTTTGACTATACCTGAGTTAATTCTGAAGGTCCAATGTGTGAGGTCTTGTCATTTTACTGAAGTTCAAATGTAGGCCCAGTGCCACGATGTTCAGGTCATGAGCTAGTAGGCTCGGCCACTTCCCAGCCTCCACATCTCCGCATGGTGTAATGTTCTCTATTCCTACAAGCACAGTAACCTGTAATAAGATATGGCTTTCTGGGGGGTGAGACAAGGGGCAGAAGGATGCAGGGAAGAGACCCTAGGGGCAGTATTTCTGATGGAAGGGAATCCTATATGGAAAGTCAGAGTTCTTAGAAAAAGAGGCTGCATCTTAAGAATAGAATTTAACTGGGGCACTTAGGTGGCTCAGTTGGTTGAGCGTCCAACTTTGGTTCAGGTCATGGGATCTCACATCCGTGGGTTCGAGCCCTGCATTGGGCTCTGCCCTGACAGCTCAGATCTCTGCCCCTCCCCTGCTCGTGCTCTGTCTCACAAAAAATA